TAGTGAATAGAAATAAGATATAGACTTAAAAGTTTACAAAAATATTTTTAAACCAGACGTATTACATTCTTCATTATAAATGAGAGGAGTACATTTTTGTGAATTCGTTTATAGAAAAGAAAAAAACTATTAGTATCCAACACAGGTCCGTGTATCCTGTCACTGGACGATGTAATTGTCCAAACTCATAACTACTTAATTACTTATAGCAGAGAATGCTTATAGCATGCATGAAGGAAGATTGTCTCACGTTCGTACCGTGACAGTAATCTTAAACGATCTTCTCAGAATGTAAATCGAACAATTTCCTGTCTAACTCTTTTAATGGAACAAAACATAAATGAAAGTGGCACGCTAGTTGTTTTAAACGCGTCCGTACTTGAAATGTAATACTTAATACTCGAAACGTATTTTGCTGGCATGCTGCGCTCGTGCGTGTACTCAAACTTGAGAAATTTCTCCGTGCAGTAACCTTATTATATAAGTAAATTACATAAGATAATTCTCACCGGGACATCGTCATTTTATGCGGTGTCCTACTTCGCGAACAAGGTATAAATATAAATTCAATTTAATTATTATCAATATTCTTAAGCAAATTACTTTTCTAAACATTCTTTAGTTTCGCCAGTAATTCTTATTGATATCTATAGCTATTCATAAATAATTAATAATGAATGTGGGTTCGTATTTATTATGGAAGTGATTAAAATCCGGTTTTTGAATGCGTGTGGTAAGTTTCTCTCTCTCTTGCAATACGTAAAACATTCACTGTGACCTCCAGTTTGAGTTACTGTCCAGTTTCTTTTCGATTTAACGTTTGCTATGGAAAGTACCGCGATATTAAACCACAAATAAATTAAAACACAATCGATTATAAATGTGTTAATAAGAATCGTCTTAATATAGAACACTATAAATAATAATTCTGAGGATTCATAGTTTCGTATTCTATACTAGCTGTAATACTTAAAATATCAACAGAGTTACCCTGGTTGCCACGATATTTCATATCTTCAATGTTCCATGTTCAACATGCTCTAAACGTTCTATAAAGTTGCAACTTGTTTATCCTGAATTACCAGTTACGCAGTTCTTATTTTGTTACAACTATTCGAGATGATTAAATTATAAAAGTCATGCCCTGACGATTTAACTCGACCTTAATCTTCCGCTATTTGAAATTTCATTAAATATTAATAAACAACGTGATTTAGAATAATAAATGTTTTGTACAGTTACCATTAATTTTTCTCTTCTAGCTATACAAGTCTTTTTCTCATTTTATTGCATTTATATAACGTATTGTCAAATTAATCATTTTAGTTATTTTATATTTAAAGAAAACTTGATTTTCCACATGTATTATTTAGGTATAGTTGGAAAACAGCGTGTAAATAATAAAAATTGGCGGATCTAACTGATATTCAATATCTGTAAACATTCTTAAAGTTTCTTTATTTTTTCTCAAACCACATCTCGGCCGCCGCCGTTACGAATACCGTAGTAACACGCGAAGCCGTTCCGTAATGATACGCAGAGCGGACAGGAAACGGATCCCGGGAAACCATCGATTCCGGTGGCAAAAAAAGAAGAGTAAGAAACGAAGGTGACGAGCGTGTAACAAGAGTGACGTTAACGGAACGGCTGGTCCCAGTTGAAAGTCTAGCTAGGAGACCGGGCAATCGAGCCTTTAAAGTCGAACCAGTATCCGAAGGAGACAACGTCGTCGTCGCCATCGTTGCGCAAACACTCTACTTAACTTTCACTGGGCACGCACACGCGAAACGCCGCGGCTCGTGCATGCGCTCGTGCCCTTGCTGATCCACGTATCGATTGGAATATGCTTTACTTTATGCGATTTTATTCAGCTTCTTTTACAGAGTCATTCCTGTTCCACGTTTGATTCTTGAAATTTTATCGAAATACACATCTGCTCAAAACGTTTCTAAACGTTACAGATATTTCATGAACGCATTCAAGATATCGAATCTTACATTTCGATCTTCTGCAGCCTGGTCCTCTTGCTGAGAATCATCGTCTTGTTAGTCAAATTGTTTACACGCTGTGATTCTTTGGAATGAATAATATTAAAGAACAATAATTGGAAATATGTCTCCTACCAGCAGCATAAATTAATTATTAGTAAAATGTGTTACATTCTTCACCAAGAATTTGAGTTGACAATTTGAATACATCAATTTGTCTAAAAAAAATAAAGAAATTGCAATAAGCTATCACTGATTAGTTTTTTTACAATTAGAAACACTGATGTTGCTACGTTCATTATTTCGTTTTCTGACTTCGTTTAAGCATCCCGTGATCTGGACTTGTAAATCAATGGTTACTGAACAAAGAAGCAATGCGATCTTAACTACTTGGAGAAATACGGCAGTTAAGACCATTTATAGTATATGATTCTATTACAGGAACCGCAGTTGAATCCTTCGTATTCCCTTTGTATAGAAGTCTTGTTAAAGTGATAAAGAGAAAACATTTCATATTTCCTTTCTATTATTTCCTTTTACAACCTTTTAATTAAAACGACGTAGTCGACAGTTATTTAAAATATGATACTTATTAAATACTTTTTATATATTAAGTTTATGAAATGCCTTTTACATACCGTTTGCAATTTGCATCACGTGGAATTTAGGTCCAACTGCATGAAACATTGAAAAATTAAACAATACGTTCGCAAAAGTAGACTATTTCTCAAACAATAAAACGACGCATAAATGTGAACAATTACTAGGAACACGTTCATTTTTTATATTGCACGTAGGTATCCCTACGGTGAAATATGAAACACAGCTACTTGGTAACATCAAAACGGAAGTAATAAACCTTGTACCTCTACAAAATGTTCTTCAAAAATTCTCATAAGCTTCGCTTCCCCTACATTTCCCTTTCTCTTATCAATCTCTGAAAAGTATTTCAAGCATTTTCCGTGTACGCGCATTCATACCACATTCGCGTTGTCCTTCAACCTACTTTTTCTACCTCGTCAAAATTAGGACAGAAATCGCGAGATTTATAGAACGGGAGGAATAGAAACAGAGTAGGTAGCAATCTGAAATACTGTTCGACGTGATTGTATAATATTTCAAAAATAGGATAGGGAAGCTTTGCTCGTTGACAAGGGTGCAGCTTTTTATGAAAATTATGAACACATTATTTATAATATAAGAGGAACTTATTTCACTCTTTAAGCATTGTAGTATATTAATATCTTATAGCAAGTGAAGATCCATCATAACATAAATCTGTGACAAACATGTGCAAACGAATTTATTTCTTGAATTCTACATGAAAGGTGCATGTAGTATTTAGAATCGAAGGGACAATCTTGAATCTGATTAAGTTAGAACGTGACCGACAAAACGAATTTATACTGGCCAGTTAAATATAAGTTAAAGAGTTAACTTGAAAATTTATATGATGCATGTATGAGTGAACATTACTTATTATATCGACACTTACTATTACATAATATTTAAACGTTAATTAGTGACTACAGTGTAATGAATGTGCAAATGTTAAGTTGCGAATGAAGTAGTGTCTCTTGCACTCAATGTTCTGGCGAAGTAACAGTGCAAATGTATTCTGCACGAAACCTTGAAAGTTTAGAAAATGGAACGGCCTAACGCCTTCTCTCTACCACTACAAAACTCGGTTAGAACTTTAGATTTTTGAACGATGCGACATTCTTTTCGATTGTTCCCAACTCATCCTTTTCGTACTAGAAGGAACATAAATTCCATTTCAGAAATTTCAGTTTTACTTTCATCGAATATTTCCTTCTCCAAGCATCCTCAACTGACTTTCACTATTTAAATTCTGATTAATTTTATAATTACGTAATCGTTACAATTATATTATACGTTGTATCTTAATAACGTGTGCATACGAAATTGCAATAATTTTGACTAATAAATAGAAACGTAATAGTGTGTTTGACTTGTATTTCATTTTTACAAACTATCAAGTATCTTTTACTTGAACATTGAATGAATTCCTTCGTTTGCTAGTTTCACACCTGCTTTTCTATTATCAATGGTACAGAATAGTTATTATCACAGACTACGATCACGCCACGTTACGTCGAGCTGAAAGAATCGGTCGAGGTCTTCGCGAGAAGAGAGCGTAATTACTTATATGTATATATATTATACACGTTCATGAGACAGGAAATAGTCGAGGTCGATACCGCGTCATTCTTCATCTTGCTAAATCATCGAACGATCCACGATTAAAGGAAGAACAATGAACCCTAGACTAATCAATCCTCGTACCAATAATCCTCTAATTAGACATAAGAACGACAGTTGGGGGGCTTAAACATAGCTTCTGCTATTCGTATTTAGTCAAATGTTATTTACTGAAAAGTAAAAAACTGTTGCATGATTCGAGTAAACAGGACAGTCTACAAAATTGTTAACTATTTCTATATTCTTATATTCATTAGTGCAATTCAAAGTCCTTCGTTCACGTGAAACGTATTCTAGATATCTAATAACAAAGAATCCCGAGATCACGCGATCGGAAGAAAAAGGCGTTACATAGTTACATGAACGTATCCTCATACTGTAGTATACTTATGTATTTGTACATACTTGCACTCTCATAAATAAGTATTCCACGCCCACGTTACCGCATGGAAAATCGTCTACGTATAATAATTAATGAAGACACCAATTACGAGCCGTAATTGGCATAAACATGCACGATATTACCGTTAAGAATAATGTAATATTATGATGACCGCTTTACAAATCTTAAACCATTAATTGAATGGATGTAACCTTATATTACTATTATTATTTAAAATTTTATGAAAATTCTATTAAAACAAATTACACAAGTACGTTTAGATAAACATGTGTAAAGTAACGAATGGAACATGTAATTTTAAGTATTCGTAACCGGTAAATAATTAATAGTACATGTCAAGTATATTAATGGCATCAAGAAATTTAATCCCTTAGATAATTCGTTTCATTTGCTTTTTCAGATTACAGGCATGCGATTATCGTAGCGAGGCAGGACTGGACAAGGGAGATTTGAAATATTTACGCAGCTAAAACGATAAACGTAAGTTGATCCAATCTCGAACAAATAAAAATGTCTTGTCATTTTATATTTTCAAATATTCTCTTGTCACGTTGACTTATAAATAGTGATATATCGAAGAATCATCCTTAAGGTTGTGTACACAATGTGACATCAATGAGTACATGATGAGACATTCATTATTATTATCCACGACTCACATGAATCAACGTTTCGGCATGAGCGAGGAGTGATAGCATAAACTCGGTAGTATACGATACTGAATAGCCACTGGTTGAATTCGCGACATCTGTTTAAAATAACAGTATCGACAAAAGAGACAAAATAATAATAACGGATTAAAAGTCTTGTCCTCATAAAGGAATCTAGTACAATAATAATTGATATTATATCAATAATTGCGAATCATTGTCTTAAGCTGTACAACTCAACAAGTGCCGATAGATTTCTTGTCTCTGTCACGAGAGTGTTTTAGACCGCATTAGACTTTGAAAAAAGAAAAGTGGCGGAAGATATACACAGTCCTTGGGACATATGTATACTATGACAGACAGTTTCTCAAGCGTTAAAGATGAAAACGAGGTAGAAACGTTTAGCTACATGCTATCTCTCTCACATAGCCACAGTATTGCCTACAAAACTATTTCTCACTTGTCAGTAAGCGATTTGAAGAAGAAAGAGCGTGGTTAATCCCGTGTTGGGAGAAAAAGACAGCATGTAGATTCTAGACAAATTATTGTATATCTCTCGCCTCTTACGGGTTTGTCTATGCTTTCGATACATACAGAAACTGCCTCCAGTAGTATATGTTCTAAGATGTAATCGGAGAAAAATGTTAATACGCGAAATGTTTGAGATATTCTCTTGTTTATACTTTAACGTAGCCGGTTTTTATTTTTTTTTTAATTTATCACTCGTACGCTTGTGTTCCTTGAGATAGAATCGACAGAACCACGGCGAGTGTATCATTTGATCACAAAAAAGCAGAAGATACATAGGTGAAACGTTCATACGCTAATGCTCGTTAGTGATGCCACGTACATGAAGCAGAGGAAACATCGGTAGGTATGGCGTGTAACGGTGCGAGTGCATCGGACCGTGCCAGAACTTTCCTTCGCGGGCCAGCATCACGCGACGCGAGCTGCCAGAGGGTTTTAGTTAGTTCAGGACGTCAGGAAGTGTCGGGGATGGTCATTGCGCAACATTTCCATTATAAAGTGCGCGGTCCGTCGTCGTCTCTGACACGACACGAACCTCCGACTTTCATTTCGCTTGGGAACGCAACGCGGAAGGATCGTTTAATGATCGTCGTTCGCCAGGAATCGTTCGTTTCGCTGATGAAACGTTCACCGTTGCCCGTGACCCTCATGAAAAACGAACTAGAAACGCGGAATTCTGGGAAACTTGTTACTTCACATCTCGTAAATCATGAAACAGAACAATATGTAATAACACTACATGTACATGTTAATATGCAAGTTTTGGACACGGCACTGTGAAATTACGAATTTCGACCATGTATGAACAGATTATCGTAGCCCAACTGTCGATAGCTATATTAAAAAGCTCACATCTATCACTATTGGTTTGTTTATTTTCAGTATGTCGATTTTTGTTCATCGCCCATATGCTCGTAGATATCAAAGCAAAACCAGAATATGTTGCTTTAGAACTTGGGTTTGACAAAAACATAACTCACATGTAATAGTAACATTCATTACTGAGTGTATTTATTATATTGTCTTCAATTATTGGTTCCGCGCTAATGCACGGCACTGAATGACCATTCTGGGTGACACGCAATTTGGGTCACTTTTTCGTTAATAGCTTTGTTAATAGGTACACGGCGGATTTTATGCATTTAGAGAAAAATAGTACATACAGAAAATATAAAAAATTGATTCCATGTCCAAGGATACAGAAAATATAAAAAGTAAAATACATATTATGATTTTTAAAATACAAAAGAAATTCATGATTCCATGTCCAAGGATACAGAAAATATAAAAAGTAAAATACATATTATGATTTTTAAAATACAAAAGAAATTCGTATTTTGATTTCATTTTATACATTGACATTACAAATTGTTTATTTTACATAAAGATTCGCAGTCTATTAATAGAGATTGGAGGAAAAAATGGAAGATGAACTTTTCACCCTGCTTCACATCCTCCAGAGAAAAGTCGTGCACTCTGTATTAATTACATATATTTTTGCGAACACGTTGAAAAGTAAAAGCGGGCGATGGGTACATGTAGAAAAGGAGTTGTTCAGAATCAAAATAGATCATGTAATTCATAGAACACTTACAAGGATACTAGAATATTAAACATTAATGTTGTTAATGATTCAGAGGCCGATGCATTACGCGTTCTGAGTCAGTGCACGTGTGTCGTAAGAGGGATTCAAAGAAAGCGCGATGCGAGACGAAATTTCCTGGAATTTTTCACGCATTAGTATTCCGCGGTTACAGCCAGAGGGATACGATAGAATTTACTTGCCGGACGAGGCTGCAGCGCGGGCGCGGCAAAGAACGCGATGCGATTCTCTCATGCAATCCTTCCCGATTCTGGCCTCGCAGATTCCTCTTCTGAAACTTGGGATCGAATTAACCCGAACGCGATTTCTGCTACGCTTGATTTCATTTAAAAATCTGAATATTCTTTGGAGAGTGAAACGATTTTGACGAGGGACAAGCTCGTATCAGAAATGCTGGTTGTAGCATAGAATCAGGACGCCATATAAGGATCTTTGGAGCAAAAATCAAACCAAATAATCAATGCAGTATTGATTCATTAAATTGAATATCGTTGCAGGGAAAATCGCTGAGGCAGTTAGTCATCCTTTAATTAATCAATGGCAAATGAGTAAACTTTAAATATTATTCCGTTTTTGCTATTCGTCATTCGATTCCATCATTCGTGGACAGGAAATAGTAGCTATAACGACTGCACGTGGCAAGGTAAATTCAGTTTCAGTGACGATAGCAGTGAATCACGCGATTATACTTACGTTGCATCGTCTAACTAAGAACATCGCTGTTTATGTTGCATCGGAGACTATTTATGTGCAGTACACAGGACAAGAACTATTATAGCATCCGTGAATAATCCAGCGTTACATAGCAAATGCAAGCAACACGTGGTCCGCTTTGTAGGCAAATTAGATTCTTCCCGATCGATACACTATGCATAGTTGTAGTTGCTTTTCAAGAAACTGTTACTTCCTGATTTCAATGAAAACTTTAATTAGGTGGAAAATTTGAATGAAAATCGAATTTGTATTGAAATGTATTTTTTAAAAGCAGGATGACTACGTAAAGTTAACAAGTAAGAAATTCAAACAAGATATCCCATTGGGTATTTGTTGCTTTTATTAAAATAAATTTTATATGACTTATTATTATATGGATTATTAAACTGATTCAACTTTATTTCTTCAAGACTTTGTAATAAATATATAAATAATTGTTCTTATGTGCTGCATATTTTATTATATTATATTTTATTTTTAATCATGGTTATTTCTATCTTTTAGTTTCTTTCTCTTGGTTTCTCGCAAATGGAAGCTCCAATGGGTTTTCCACGAAATAATAAAAACCTTGGCAAATAAACGTGAATGGACCTAAAAGTAATAAACGTAACATTATGTGACCGTTGCCTAGTGCTATATCTTGCTTCGAGTCCTAAGCTGTTGTATTGTATCGCGAACTTTAATGTCGGATCGGGTTGTTACGTTCGTGGGTGGAATTTCTAATTCGATGTTCGTCACTCATGCCTCATTCATTCTGTGTTTTTCACGTCCGAACGTACGTGCACTAAAAAAGAAGAAACAAATGGCCTATCGTTGAAATGGTAGATTTGCCATGTCCCGCCATGTGTGTCTGGGAACTACCCTACATGTTTGTATGCATGGCTTGTATCTAAAGGAGTGTCGTTGATCTTTTTTAGATGCTGCCATGGTTGCTGGCCGTGATCTGGACAGCACTTCCGGTGGTGCTGTCGCAGAGCAACTACGCGTCGCAGGGCAACAGCATCGAGTATCAGCCGGGTCTGCCGCCGAGCACCGTGTTAAACGGGAAGGTTACCAAACTGGACGACATCTCGTCGATGATATTTTTGAATCGCACCAAGGCGTATCTGAACTGCAGCCAGGGTAGCATGCAAGTCGAGCTGAAGTTTGAGGAACCATTCTACGGGGTCGCTTACGCCGACTTTGATCGCAACAGCGCGTGCATATTTAAAGGACGCGGATCGACTAGCGCCAAGTTGGAACTACCACTAAAAGGTTTCACCTCCGTTTACGCATTCCTTTATTTTACTTTTTCTGTCTTGCTGAGTTTGAGAATTGGTCAAAGACACGCAAGCAACCGGTGCACTCTGTACTTGGAGGAATCACCGAGCTTTTATGAACGCGATACTAAGGCTCGAATGTCGCGTTGAAAGTTACGACGATAGAACCTGAAGAATTTTCTATTTAGTTTGTTGGAAGTCCTTCTTCAACGGTATCCTTTCTCTTCAATCATGTAGTAATATGATTTGAATTCTGATATAAACTGATATCTTATCCTTTTCAAATTTGTAAGAAACTTAGTCAAAATCGTATTGTTTTTTGTTTTCCACTAACTTTGAAAAATCTTTAATTATTTTGTTTCATTGAAATCAAGATAAATAATGTAGTTGATAATTATCTGTAATAGTTATGATTCTATTCTTATCTAAACAATCACCTGTGTGTTCATAAGTAGGGTAAACAGTGTTTGTATTATTCTTATTTGCAAGAAACATAGTCATCTCAATTTCCTCATGAACTATGAGAAAATCTATGTTCCTTTTCTCATATTCTACATCCAGTGTCTTAAGAAGACCTTGTTTATCACAAACCTCTTCCATCTCGAGAAATTTTTAATCATTAATAAAATGAATTATCTATATAAATTTCATTTATGATTATACTTCGACATTTAATTGAAATTAATTATCGAAATGATTTTAATTTATGAATAATTTCAGTAAAAGCTTTTCGTAAATTATTAACGTAGTAAATATTAGGTTGAAACATGCCCTAAACGATTTACAGTATGATTAAACATTTCTGGAAAGCGGTACGTGCTCGTGATCGAAATTAAACACGGTGCATTTGCATTCTGATGTAACGGAGTTCGGGAAATATTTAATGTCGATTGATATTCTAGGATGCGGAACGAGGCAGGATCCTCAACGCGTGTTCACAAACAACGTTGTAGTTCGCTTCCACCCTGGTCTCGAAATGGACGGGGACGAAGTTATCACGATAGTCTGCCGATACCCGCCGCCCGTGGCACCTGCACCACCAGCACCTCCCGCCAGCATGTGAGTTTCTATCATCCGTACAAAAAAATGTTACATTCCCTTCTTATTTCTCTACGAACGGTAGAGTAAAATTAATCCGGAACTGCATAACAGGAAAAACTGATATTGCTGAACATATTTTAAATTTTTCACAAAATATCAATCCTGAAAAATCTTCTGAATTAATAAACTGATTTTGCTGGCATCAGTATCTTGAAAGATTGATGCTCTCAAAGAAGAGTAAATTACTGGAAATAAAATTTGGATTCCTGCAAAAGAAAAATTATTCAAAGATAATATTTAATAAAAAAGCGACATATTGTCACGTTATCTAATAAATAAAGAAAATAATATAAATTATTAATAAACATATATAAAAAGGATTCATTTTCCTTCAGTTTGGCTACCCAGGCACCTGCACCGTTGCCAGAACCGCCGCTGAAGGGCTTCCAGATTCTGTTGATCATCTGCGCTATACTATTTCTCTCGTTGCTGTTGCTTGGCCTCGGTTGCTCGTACATGTGTCTGAAACGCAGAAACGTTCGCGTGATCCACCGGCATCCATTCGGAAGTGGCTCGGGCTCAGAGATAACGAAACTCTCGACGTCCTCTCTTAGTAATATCACCATGTTCGAGGGCCTGAAGATACCCCGGGCTCATGCTCTTCTGCACGCACCGCCGTCCACCACCGGTAGCGATGCAAACCTAATGATCGACCACTCGTTGCCCAGCGATTATCCCAGCGAGAGCTCAGAGGTAAGTTACATGGTACGCCAGCGTTCGATACATTTGAAGTTGATCATTGGCCGTGTGATTTTCAAATCGCATGCTCACTGTTGAATTTATTAGGTGCATAAACACATAGCTGCTGGCGGTCGTATTCAAATGCGAATTACCATAAGATTTGCATAACCGATTTTCCTTTTGTCCATGAAATTACTCAATATACATTCCGACGTCTAAAAAGTCGAATGCAACAATATGCTTATTCTTATATTATTAAAAATAGTAGTTTCGTTCTTTCTGATAATAAGTTTAGATCGTGATTGAATATTATCCAATTGCAAACATAAGTGAATTGATGTGGAAAAGAATTTGGTAATCAGAATGTTTTTTGTCGAAATGTTTCTGTCGATGACCCAGATTGATTTTGAGAAATTCGCAATTTATTACAACATAGATCAGAATTTACGATTTCTATGCTCCGAGTTGCAAAACATGGAACGTTTTCATAAACGTGGATTCTCGTCCAACTACAATTTATGTCGACCACATTCTTTCGATTTGAAATAAATTTTTCAAATAGAAATAAAAATATGTCGGATGCACGTAAAGACGATGATGAATATTACACGTTGCACGCGTACAGAACAGAATAATATCCATTAAAAATAAATCTTCCTCTTTTGCACACGTGTACTTTCCATGGACGTCACTAGTTTTTACGTGTCTGTCACACGTCAATTTAGCATGATATAAGCTAGTCCAGATACGGGCATTGCTTAGGATAGTGCTATACCTCATATGTATGTTATATGATCAATATTATATCATGAAATTAAAGAAACATATTTTATGTATGTGTTTATATTGTAAATTATGGAAAGGGTTACAGAAAATACGTTTTAAAACAGGAATTATATGAATTATAAATATCATTCGACTGCTGGGACATTTCTAAAATGGTTAACTTCAATTGATAGAATAATCTGATTACTATTATTAAGAAAAGAATCTGCGTTTCTGTTTACAGGTGGATGAAGAACCGTCATTACCTGTGTCCTCGGCCGGTTCCTACGATAACAAAGCCTTCATCCACCACGAAACACATCAACGACAGGAAATGCGAACCTCAAGCTCTCTGTATTCGGAAACAGTCGCAGCGGAAGTAGAAACATCGTCCATAACCGCGGCGAATGCTTCCAGAACTGCGATTCCACGTCATATGATGGCGACGCCGATCGAACCTAAATTCGATGTCCAAATGCGAGTTAAAAGAGCTCCACCTCCGCCGCCGAGTCCTTTACCCTCGGAATCCGACGTGGCAAGCATCGCTTTGGAAAGAAACCTGACCACCATTTTAGAGAAAGAGGAAACCAGCCTCACCCGAAATCTCGAGAGTCCACCAGCCAGGATGACTACTTTCTCGTACGTTCCTGAGCTTCACGGGCCACCAGGAGGGACACCTTCAACGTCGACGATCTCCAGACAGCAAACGCCACCAGTTTACTCCAGGATTTTGAGGAAACAAGCTGAAAGAGAAACCATAAGTACCAGCGTTATTCAGGAACGAATTCCGTCGCCATCGCCTATCGAACAGCCTCCTCTGCAACACCACGAGATCCGAAGACCCAGATCCTTGACCTCGTTAAATACCGAGCTGACGGAGACTCGATCCTTGACAGAGGTGACGGATCACACGCATGCCAAGTACAGAGTGGCCAGTATCCTGGCACCGACACCTCCTCCGCCCCCACCGATTGTTCCCACGGTCACTACCACCCACACAGCCGTTCAGCATCGCGAGCATCGTTTGTTCCGGGAAGAGATGACGGAACCATTGGTGGAGCCTCAAGTCGTCGCGCCGAGACGTCCAGAGATAATTACGCACGAGGTGGACGACGTGTTCCTGAAGACGGTTACGGAGAAGAAGACTATAGAGGACGTCGAGCGGCACCGCCGTCAGGTGACTGAGTACCGGGCGAAACCACCACCAGATCCGAAATGGGACGTAACGATCAGGAACTATCCAATGGAGAATATTCCGCCTCCGCCACCCGAATGGGAGAATTTCTCCGATGTTAGTTCCAACTCGAATCTGACAATAACGAACGAACCGACTGGGAACCAGGTCGAGGGGCCAGTCGACGAAGAACCAGATATCAATATCGAACCTACCTACACTGCCAGAGCCGAAATTCCTTGCAGGCCGCCACCCCATCGTTCCGTGGACGAAACGGACACCGATTGGTTCAGTAGACTGTCCCGTGTTCTGGACCCGCGTTACGCTTCTGAATTCTCTGAAGAAGAACGAGTCAAGTGGAGGGAGATAATTACTACGGACAGTACCTTGAGAACCCTCTTAACGGAGGCTGTAGTCAGGGAGGATTACGAGTTGATACGGAAAGACGCGAGATATACGAACCTCTTCCCGCCAGCCAAGTGGGACGTGATCATCCGCATCTTGAGTCCTCCCCCGACGCAAGCGGGCTCCACTTCCTCCTCGACTCACGGGAAGAATCATGGACAGCGTTACAAGAGGTCCAAGTCCTCGGAGTGGGACACCAGATCCAGGAGATCCTCCCTACCCACTCTGTACGAATACGAGAGCGACGGAGGAAGCTCTCGAGCTCACAGTCATCGACTGCAAATGTCCCATTCGGCCACCGCGATGGGTCAGTCGAGCCGCCTACGCAGACTTGGTTCCAGCCATAGGGGTACAGGAGTCGCTAGTGAAGTGGACGTCAGGTCCATGTCTGAGATGACGGTGAGAGACTTCGCCAGAGTGGACAGGGATGACTTGACTAGTCTGAGCTCGTTCGAGGGTGCGGACTCTTTGGTGAGATCTCTGAGCCAGCCCAGTTTGGCAAGAAGCGGTTCGGAGTTCACCGAACACTGGGGTTTACCTTCGGGGATGTTGGATCTCCCGCCCTGGACGGCGGAAGAGGAAGGAACCAGCTCCGTGGAAACTACCCCCCGAGTAGTGAGGAGAAACGATCGTCTTGAGGTTCTAGCCTCGTTCGATGATCGTAGACAGGGAAGTTCAACCACGAGATCGAGCCGATATATTGAGAGACAGCTGAATGTCACCGAGAGCCAGAGAAGCTCGAACTGGTTCCACGACGACTCCGAACCGGAAATGCAAATCTGAAGGTTTACGCGAGGTGTTTGATTCCGTGTTCCGTCCATCGGCTGATCAATGAGCGTGGTAAAGGCTGAGTATTGGTGGGCCAAGGTTGTCTTTTTAACAGGGTATCGCGTTTTAATATAAAAAAAAATGATATTTAAATGGAAGACAAAAATCTTAACGTGAACTGTGAGATATTTCTTACAAAATATCAAGAATTCAGTATTAAGGGGCTAGAGTAGTCACGTGACTTTTCTAACATTTGTCGGCACAATTTTTTATGTTTTTTGACGTTTTCTTGCTCTCTGTCGCCTATAACCCCGGAAATAACAGTGTAAAATATGTAGTCTAGCCCCTACAAGTAGCAACAATCGAAACAGTTAAATTATATGCCAATGTAAATAAACATGGGCGCAAAAATGTTTATTTATTGCAAAGTAATAAGATCAAAGGAAGTGCTAGTGAAAAACGCTTGTACAGCCAATACTTAGAACCTTGATTACCTAAAATATTACATCTTTTTTCGGATTGATAATATTAATTGTTCAACTACCCTTGTGTTCTGTTTTCATCTCTTCTTTTTAATCGATCACGCTTTTTTTAAAATTGAAGACGTTTATAGATTGTATGTTTTGTTACAATATTATTTTGTTACATAGAAGGATGCTTGGTCAATATTCACTGCCAATTTTCCCTCGCATTCGGCAGTTGGGTAGACGCTATTTTTTTACATTTTTTTATCACTATCGAACGCTCTCGAACGAATATATTTTTCGAATTAACGGACTGACTGTTCACAGTAACGATTGAATAAATTGAGATACGAATCAGAATTATAATTTTCATATGTATAGCATTGAATATGAAAATTAAATTTTAACCAAAATCATCAGAAACATGCCACTATAATATCTGATTGACGCAAGTTATTAAATAATGAGTTCTCAATTGAGGAAGTTAATATGGATTCGACATCAGCAATTAAACATGGGTCGTATTTTGACATTCGGCGATATGAAATTAGGTGAACGAGAAACGTTATTTCAATATCGATAGTTGGAATTCATTGTTATGAGTGATTTAGAAATACGAAAGGAAAATATAGAGCGTATTGAGATGGAACAGTCGACACGTTGAAAAAAATGGTTAGCCATTTTCTCCACTTATCACTCGAAATGTGCAAGAAACGAAAACGAATAAAAAAATCGAAAATCTTTCGAATCGAGTGGATCTGTAGAATTTGGCATAACATTCTGAATAATCAGTGTAGGAATTGTAAGTCTTGACAAGTTAAAATAAGTTTACAATTAACCATGAAACAAATTTGCTTTCCTAACGATCGATGCTCGAATGGCGAGATTTCGAGGATCTCCGCGATCATTGAATACCACCATCTGGTCTTGTTCACCACCACCTGGTGATCTTTTAAATAATATTTAACGCTTTCGCTACAAATCAATTTTTCATCCTTTCATCTTGTTCTCATTCTACCTTTTATTATTTC